TTTTTTTTTTTTTTTTTTTTAATTTTTAAACTTTCGATCCATTTCAATATTTAATTTTAATAGTTTGCTACATTCAACGCTAATTTAATTGTATTGCTGTGTTTGGCGATTTACTTTGCTTGTCGGTTGGTGTGGTGCCCCTTTTCCACAGCGCGGCGTTTCGCCTTTTCGTGGCGTGGCGGTAGACCTGAGGTACGGCGCTGCGGCGAGGGGTGTCAAACGGCGGGGAAAATTGAAAAACCACGTGCGTGGGAAAAAAAAAAAAAAAAAAAAAAAAAAAAATTCAAAGAACGGAAATAAGGCAACAACGAGAAAAATATGGAAAAGATAAAGCCTCCCCCCCCAATGCAGAAACTTTTTGAAAAATATAAAAACGCAATTTGAGCCCCAAGCAGCTACTACTTATCCCCCACCGCCTTGAGATAAAAAGGAAAAAAGGAAAAAAAAAAAAAAAAAAAATAGGCGAATCAATTTCAAGTGTTCTTTTTCTTCCTTATTTTCCCCCCCCCATTTTAATCGCGCTAGCTGTACTTGTATATCTTTTATCTGTTGCAACTTTGTACCATTCTGCCCCCCTCCAACTTTTACTTCACCCCCAAGAATTGTATAGAAATAAAGATATGTCAGTGGTAAGAGCAGTTTTAAAAAAAAAAAAAAAAAAAAAAAATGACAAGGAAAGGTAAAGATATATTGCGATAAAACATGGACCCCACATTTTTTTATCTCCATTTTTTTTTTTTTCACCTCTTAGGGAACAGCTCCTCTCAACCCTAAGCCCTTCCTGAATAGTCTGGCCGGGAACCGAGTGATCATAAAGCTAAAATGGGGCATGGAATACAAGGGTAAGCTAATCAGTCGCGTACGCACCGACTGCTGTGCAACTGCATGGGGGGACATGTACCGCCAATATTCCCTCCAGAAGAAATGCACAAGTGAAAAATATATAATGGCAATCGAAAACCTGGCCCTCCTCTTTTGCTTTTACACCGCAGGGAACCTTAAATCTTTCGACGCCTACATCAACATAAGGCTGGCGAACGCGGAAGAATGGATCCATGGAGAGTACAAAGGCACCCTGGGGGAAATATTCTTAAGGTAGGCCTACCTCCCTGTATGACTGCTTCATCAAGTGATACATTGCCGTGGTGGTGTGTGTTGTGGGGAGGGGGGGTCGTCCAAGAGCGTTTTTTTTTTTTTTTTTTCCCTCCAACACCATCACTTAGACAATAGGACGAAAACCCCCCCCCCCCTTTCAAATCACTCAGAATTGTATGAGCAGTTTTACAAAAGTGGGTGCACCATGTTTACCTTTTTTGTTCCTTCCTCCCTTCAGGTGTAACAACATACTATACATTCGGGAAGACAAGGAGACAGAAAATTCCCCCAAGTGAAAGACAAGCACACAGCTAGTGTTGTGACAACTTTGAGAGGCTTTCCCAAGCGTGTTCATCCTTACTCGTATTGTATGGATGAACCGGAAAGCGCTTTCCATGTAGACTTTTTCTTTTTTTTCCTTCTTCTTTTTTTCTTTTTTTGTTAAGATAAATTTTTAATGACCCCCAACATTGTTGTCATTCCCTCGCTTAATTAACACTAACTCGTTTCATTTTTAATTTTAATTTTAATTTTCCTTTTTTTTTTTTTTTTTTACTCCCCTTGGTACCAGTAAAAGTCTGGCATATATTTATGAGGAGAGGCAGTAGACATGCGCACAAATGTGATTGCACCGAATGGAAAAGAAAACAAAAAAAAAAAAAAAAAAAAAAAAAAATTCATACGCGTGCATCCCTACGGCTAGTGCGAATGGGAAACAACAACATCGCTCCAACATGTCTCACAAAACTGGAGCCTCAGGAAAACTTTTCCATGGATAGGCCAGCGTGCGAAAAATGCAAAAATGGGACCCCATCGAGTTATGTCCAATTGTTTCTTTCGCCACTCTTTTGCTGAAATGGTTTTCCCATTTTTTTGTGCTCACTGATCCGTCACGCTCTTTGTTTCAAGCGTGAGTAGGTTTACCGGTGCAACAGTAGGAGGGGAGTTCTCCTCTTCAACGTTACTTCGGATGATCATACAAAATTGTGAAGCTTGGCTAAACGGAGACTTTTTTTTTCTCCACCCCTTTGCGTCTTCATACGCGGGCTCAACGCTTGCTTCGAACCACTGGAGGGGAGTTTTCACAGCTCACGGAGGAGGAGCAATCATCAGACATGTCGCTGTCTACCTTCCTTTCCCTCCTCCTTCGCGCGTCTCGTTTACGTGCCTTCCCCTTGGAACCGTTCGCAGAAGAGTGCTTCCTACCTGTTTCCATCTTAGAGGAATCGCTGTGGGAACTACTGCTCTCGACGGACGATACAGCAGAGGACCCACTTCTTCTACTTTGGCTGTAGGTCGAGCTGTGATATGATTTTTTTTGTGACTTGCTTTTTTTGCATTTCTTCTTCCTGGACTTGTCCTTTTTTGACTTGCTTTTTTTCGACTTTTTTTTTTTCTCCCTCTTCAGCTTCTCCCTTTTGCTGTGTTTCCTTTTACCAATCGAGTTGCTACCCTTTCGGGTTTTCTTCCCCTGGCGGCTTCGCTTCTCTCGAGGGGTGTCCTCTGTATCTGCGGACATGCGCGCGCGTTTTAACCTCCGTGTGTCGCTCTCATCACTTTCATGATCTCTACCACTGCTGCTCCTTTTCCTCTTCGCGACGCCCCTTTTTCCATCTGGCGATTCTCGCGCATCATCACAGGTGCTTCTACCTCTGTGCGCTGTCCTACTCTCACTTATACTTAATGTTATTCTGCTCCTGTTTCTTCGTCCATTTTGCATCATGCTCCTGTGTCCATTCGCATTTTTCCCGCTTCTCCTCTCCCTCGATCTACTACGAACACTTGTCTTCTCCCCCGTTGTGGACCTATCACTTGAATGACTCTCATGAATTCTTTTTTTTTTTCTGTTCCCTTCATGTGCATGTCTTTCCTTGTGTTGTGTTCTGCATCCTCTGTAGGTGCTGCCAGTCGAGTCAGTCGAGCCAGTCCTGCTGGACGCGTTGGCATTCCCGCCATTGCAGTCTTCCCCAGAGTGGATGTTGTCTGCCCCATTTGCGTTATCATATGGACTTAAGTAACACAATTCCGCGTCCTCCTTCAGGTGCATCTTGTCCTCCTCGATGGCACTACTACTGGCTATGCTCCTTGTGTCTACTCCGTTACCATTTTCTTTTTCACCACTTGGGAGATGGTCCTTCTGTGTGTTGTTTGTGTCACTTGCAATGGTGGGACGAGATATGTTTTTTTTTTTTGTCACGCTGGGGGAGGAGCTTTCCTCCTGCATCCCTTGCGAGGATCCACGTCCTTTATTTGTACTTGCGTCCATATTGCTGCCTTTTCCATTTACCCTCATTGAAGGTGGTGACTCTCCTTGCGCATACGTTTCGTCTCTTTCTTCCTCTGGAGTCATTCCATCACAGTTTACATGGCCGTTGCTGCTGGGACTTGCGGACTTGGCTTCTTTGCTTTTCTTTGTCTCCTCCCATCGGTCGAGCAAATATTCTTTTTCATTCTGTCCATTGGTTGGGCTGTGTTGATAATTCAGTTGTGGTGGCTCCTCCTTTGAATTTCCTTTTCCGTTTGGATCCCTGATTAGGGTTGTATCTTCACTGCAATTGTTACTTGACTTTGTTTGTTTCTTCGTTCTGCTTGTTTCTACTCCTTCGCCACGTTCGAGTGAGTCTGCGTCATGGTGAGTCTGTTCCTGAGGTTGGTTTTCCTCCTCGGTGGAGTAGCTTTTACAGATTCTTCCTCGCATGTCTTTAGGGGTATTCTTTTCAGTATCTTTTGCGCCTCCTCCTTCGATGTCTTTTTGAGGATCCTTTACGGGTCGTCCACCGTCTTTGCTGTGCCCGTTGCTTTCCCCGTCGCTTTTGCTGAGACTGACACTTCTGCTAAACGTCTCTCTTTTCTTCCTCTTTCTTCCTTTTCTGGTTGCGTCCCTTTGGCCTTTTCTTTGTCCCCCTTTCGTGTTTTTCCTTTTGACTTTGCTTCTCCCTTTGTCGCGTTCCTGCGTGCAGTAACTGTCACGGCTGCTATCCCTGTCGCTATCGCTGTAACTGTAACTGTAGTTGGTGGTGCTGCTCGCACTCCTGACAGCGCCCCTCTTCCCGCTTCTGTTCACTTTGCGACTTCTTCCTCGAGTGCATCGTCGTCTTAGAGCGCTCCGACGATTGCTCCCCCTGCTGTAAGGCGAACGGTACGAAGAAGACGCGCTGTAGGTGGAAACGCTGTCTGAGTATCTTTTACCAGGCCGGTATCTGCTAGCCATTTTTTCCCTTTTGCCCTCTTTATGCATTATGCGACTCTTACTTCGGCAATATTGGTGTCTTTCATGTCTAGTTGATCTAGCGCTGCTTGTGTGAAGAATTATTTTACCCCTACTGTCACTCCGATAAGGATGTCTTCTGTACCTACTTTCACGTGCATGGTGTTGATACATCTTCATGGTCTCTGGAGACTTCCTCCTATTCTGAGCAATGATTATTTTAATTTCATTACCGTCTATCTTCGAATGGTTCAAAATGTTCATGGCTTCTTTTGCATACTGGGGTTCATAATATTCGACAAAACCGAAGCCTCTGGGCCTCCTTGTGTAATGATCTAGGGGTAAATATACATCTCGCACTTTACCAAAGCTCTGGAAGATTTGCCTGATTTTGTGTGGACTGGTGTGGAAGCTTAAATTTTTTATTAACAGACTGCATCCATGTTCAACCATTTTGCTGTCAACCCAGAGTGGGACAAGATACCTTTTGCACGATGTGCCCCTTCTCTCCTGCGACGGTAAGCTAATCCGTCCTCTACTTCTTACACACACGCACTGCCCCTTCGTGACGGAAAGGCATGCAACACACACACACACACGCACGCACAGTATACACGTGTATGCCTCTTTAATGTATTCTGTGCGGTGGTTACAACCTCACGATGAGTGCACAAATGGAGAGTTTTTTATTTTTACAAAGAACCATTTGCATCGTGTCAATACCTACACCTCTTGTGCACCGTGTGAAGGCGCTATTTTTATCTCCCCTTCAAGGGCGACACACAAAAACTGGCCTAACTCCCCTCCCCCAGGCGCGCCTTTGTCCTCTTCCCCTAATTTGGTAGAACATAAATGTAGATGCTATTCTTCCCCAGAGAGGAGAATTTGCAAAGGACAGTTATGCCTCAGCTGTGTGCAGCGTCCGGGCTAGAAACGCGTGAGTGCGTTTTGGCATAACGTGGTAGTCTAGTAGTTAATGAGTAGCTATTTTGGTAACACAGCAATCCCCCACTTCACACCTCTTTCATCAATCTGCAGCGTGTCAGTGGACGCTGGACGATTTACCCTTCCGCGGACTCTTCTATGTGCCTCAAATGAAGGGAAAAAACAAAAGCAGAAAAAAAAAATTCATCACAACGGGATGTGTGAAACCCTACCACAAGAAAGGACGATAAAAAAAAAAAAAGAGAAAAAAAACATTTCTCATTTTATTCCCATCAGCACGACAAAACTGTGAGAACATTTACGGCGCATTATTTTTTTTTTCGTCTTTCTCGTTTGCAGCGACATTTTCCTTCTAACGACGAGGGAGGATTATACCAGCGCATCGTGAATCAGTTTCCACACCCGTTTTTTATTTCCAAATGCATGCGCGATGCGCGAACACATTTGTATGCCTCACTTGGCTAACAGTGCGATCTGTTTTTATTTCTACGGTTGGCTTATTTTAGTTTATTTTTTTTTTTTCGCTGCCAAGTAATGTCCCTTTTTTTTTTTGTTTTCTTTTCCATTTACCACGAGTTCACCAAATATCTGCGAGAGGGGAAACAGCAGCATGGGCACTGTCCTTCACTGGTCTCCCTTTTTTTTTTTTTTTTTTTTTTTTTGGCCAAATTATATCGTCCCTTTGCGAGAGAGAAGCTTCACCGTGGCATGATATGGAAACTTGTCAGCTTCAATTCTCCACGTTACATGCATGGAATGTTAAAAAAAAAAAAAAAAGGCTACCCGCGTCCTTTTACCAGTATAGACACGCAGAGGCATAAAGGATACGTGATCGCACGTACACGTAAATGTGAACAAAAGCAGAAAGGCGAACGTGCGCACAGCTGGTGCCATACAAATGGACTCACAAAAGGGAACACACAAACATGGCAAGTATGATGGTGCGTACAATAAGATGGGCTATATGAAAGAATTCCCATACATGTATGTTCCTGTTACATATTTTCCTTCGTGGGGAATATTTTTACAAAAGCAGTCACTGGAAAGGAAAATAATCTGCCTATGGATGGCAACTGTGCGGTGAGCATGATCGCTTACGCATTTATTCTTATGTACCACTGGGTACTCTCTCCCATTTCGCTTTCCTTCCCCCGAAGTTTACTCCTCATAATTGGGGAGAAAGGAAAAAACTGTTCCGCGCACATTCCCAATCAAGTGCTTCAAATCAAAGCGCGAACATATCACAAGCAGAGTGTAGCTTTCAATTTATGGACTTTCCAACTGCCGGGCGGTCTCCCATTTTCTCTCCCTAATAGGGAGTCATAATGAATGGCCATTTTTTAAGACAATAAAACTGGCCTGAAAAAACATTTAGCTAACACGCCCATTTGTGCCAAATCACCACTTTGCGCATTTTTATACGGACGGGACTACATATTTGCAATTCAGCGGAACGATACAAAGGCATTGCAAAATCATGTGCCAAAGTAGGAAGAATAAAAGTTACGTACACGTAACGGTGGTCTAAAGTTAGCACTTTTGCCATGCGCATAAATGGCTGTCTGTTTTTTTTTTTCTCTCTCTCTACAACATTATTATACGTTTTACTGCATTATGGCATATTCTTCAACTCGCACATAAATGTAGGTGGTCCACAGTTGACATTTTCTTACTTTTGTTCTATTCTATTTCTCCCCCCCTTCATCTCATTCGTTTGTTTACTCCCAGTTGGTCAGCGAGTCCACAGTGCAAAAAGAACAGCGCACACACACACGTGTGTCCAAAATAGCGAACACTCACTTTGTCCAATAATATATTTTTTTTTTTTTTTTTTTTTTCCACTTTTTGGTTAGCTACAAAAAAAAAAAAGAATGCAACTTTTACCTGATTGTACAGGCGATTGTTCCGAAAATTGTTAGCAATTTTGAGATGGACAAATGGTTGGAGACAAAGAAACGTGAACGGGGTACACACGCGCGTGAACACACAACACAATTATCCAGACAGCTGCCAGTGAAACCAGCGCCAAACTTGCATATACGTGGAATAAAACGCGCGTGGACCGCTTCGCTTGCGCGAAATGGGAAAACCCCCTCTTTGACTTAATGCCCCACATAGGACGTTCGCACACATGTAGACAATTATTGCCGATTCAGCAGCGGTGTAGACGACGTTGCATTTGTAAAACGAAGCAGGACACGCTGTGGGGACAACGGTTGCTTCGTGCTAGTAAACAGCAGGGAAAAAAATGTCGAAAGGCTGTCCAAAATATTTTTAGAAAAAAAAAAAATTATGCACGCGGTGCACGGTAACCCCTCCCCCATTTTATGTCATTCACAACGGGAAATAGACACCGCAACCGCGCAACAAACGAAATTCTACAACGTACAAGCGTCGCAAACGTGCGTATGGCGAATTTTGGCGAAATTTTCCAGTGGGCACAATTACACGTGCGTTTTGTAAATGGTACGCGCTGCGTTCATCCCGAGTACGCCCCACGTACATTTGTTCCTATACCGATTCACCTCCCGATATTTGCCACTCTACATGCGCACTTCGCACGGTGGTTACTAATTGTCCTCGAAAAAAAGACACGCAAGAACATGCGGTGAACAAATTTTCCATAAAGCACTCCATGTAAATTAAAACAAACGAGTGATTGTTAAACATTCCACTCGTACAAAAGACAAAACATTGTTCTTTTGCATGTTGCAATTTTTTTTTTTTTTTCATTTCTTCACGTCTTATCTATCGAACGGCCTGTGCGTGTAGTCATATTTTGTGTACGCGTGTGAACATGTTTACCAAAAAAGGTGGAGTGTAAAAAAAAAAAAAAGAGGCGCGAACGGTGAAGACAGAATTCGAAACATAGCACGAAACACGTGTGAACACGACGGAGGGCATGTCAACACACCAAATAAAGGACACCCGCACGTTGTAGAGTATCCTTGTAGGCACCACATGTACCCCTGCCCTACATGTGCGCTTAAGTAATTCAGCGTCCATATGTACACTGCTATATGTACTTACTGATGTGTGATGTGCATCCGCTCAATAACTTCCAAAGGAGCATATCTGTGTACATTTCTGTAAACACTGTGAAGGGGTAAAAAAAAATAATCGATGCTCGCTTGGGTGCAAACGTTTCCTCAGTTTTGCCTTTTTGAAATATTTTTATCACAAAAAAAAAAAAAAAAAAAAAAAAAAAAACGCGTTGTTGTATTTGTACCACTTGCTATATCGTGCAAGAGGTGAAAAAAAAAAAAAAAAAAAAAAAAGAACAAATCAGCTTAAACCTGGACATATATAAATTAGCGCAAGGTAAGAAAAGCTTATCATTTCTTTTTTATTCAAAATTTATGTCTCCATTTTTACACACCTGTTAGAGTGTGGCTTATGCGAGTGGGTGGATTTGCTGTGCGCTGTTGAGCTCCTCAATTGTGGTGCCACACTGATCAGGACAATACTTCGCTTTGCTTTATTCTGCTTTATTTTATTTCACTTTTTTTTTTTTTTTTTTTTTTTCCTTCCGTTTGGCAGATCGCCGGTAAAATGGCTAAATGCACATATGATGCTCACAGAAATAACTCCATCAACCAGGAGCTACTAGTACGAATTGCACAACACACAGAAGAAGTGGCGTGTGCCTTTTGTGCTGATTGAAATGCACAGATGAAAGCACAGAAAAGAATGGTGTAAATCTGCATTTTGTGTTCTTCCTTCTTTTTATTTTATTTTATTTATTTATTTTTTTTTTTTACTAGCTGGAAATTAAGAAAATGGAGAAAGAGCTAAAGAAGAGATATGAGGAATACGAGGAGCTGAACCATAGCTACCGGGAAGTTTACGTAAGCGAGCAGGAGGGCAGCGCACGTGCGCACATATGAGTTCATGTATAAAAGGGCGTGTGTGTGTGTGCCTTTGCTCATTTGCTAATTCGCTTGCTGCTTATTCGCTTGCTGCTTATTCGCTTGCTGCTTATTCGCGTGTTGCTTATTCGCGTGTTGCTTATTCGCCCGCTACTTATTTTCCTTTTTCTGCGCCGACTTGTCCTACGCAGGGTTCCTACATTGTAAGCAAGACAAACCTGGATGAGGCGACAAATGTAAGGGCGAGATGGCATAAAAAAAAAAAAGAGTAACACGTGCCTCAATCGTTTGCATTCGCATATGCATTCGTATATGCCTTCGTATATGCCGTCGTATATGTAGCACAGTTGTTACACACACACATTTGCCCATTATGCATACCTCCTGTAAGAATTACGAAGGGGAAATTCTCAAATTAGAAACTATGATAGCGGAAAAGGAAAATCAGTACTGCGATTTGCAGGTAATATAAAAGAAGCTCTCCAAGGGAGCAGAGCTCAAAACTTGTGAGTGTCACTTTCATTTACGTGTCACCATTGAACATCACTACGGATATACACACGATGAAATAATAATAAAAAAAAAAAAAAAAAAAACCTGTGCAGGAAAGCTTCCAAGAATTGCTGGAAGATAAATGTAAATTGGAGGAAGAAGTTGAGAGCTACCAAAAAGCCATATACGAGATGGAGGAAAATTGTGCATCGTTAAAGGAGTCTCATAAGGTAAGGCCCCTTTGGCGTCCAGCAGTTTGTCAAGTGGGTGTTTCCTCCGTTGTCACTCTTGTCCATCTGTGCAAGCTAGTGTAGTGCTTACCATGTGTACTACTTTTTTTTTTTTTTTTTTTTTTCCCTTATCAGGAGGAACTGAAAGAAATTCAAGAAGAGATATCCAACCTGTCCTCGCAAATGCACAACATGAACGTAATGCCTTTTTTGAGTGGAGCGTTTATGAACTACTCCTGCACAGTGGGTCAGGCGTCCAGTTACGTTTTCTTGCATGCAATAATTCTGTTTTGTTTTTATTTTTGAATTTAATTTAATTTTTTTTTTTTTTTTTTTTTTTTTGCTGCTTTTCCCGAATGCACTGCAGGAGGAGCTGGAGTTCGCGAAGGAAAGATGTAGAGAGTTGGAGAGGTTAAATGAGGTAAGTTGCGGCTGTCCCAGTTGGGCTGCCCCTCCGATTGGTCACGGCAAATCGTCACGGCAAATCGTCACGGCACATCGTCACCGCTACACATCACCGCGATTGGATCTTCCCCGCAGGAAAAAGCCTCCACCATTGACACCCTCAATGAAAAAATTGACAACTTAAAGGTAAGGAGAATGGACGCACATGCAGACTCATGTGTAGACGCACGTGTAGACTCAGATGCGGCACACACTCATTCGCTCACAGTTGGGATGGACAAGCCCGGTGCCCCTCTTCACACATCTGTGCTCATTTGTGCATGTTGCCCAAACCAGGAGGAGAAGAAACTGCTCGGAATCGACATGGAGATTATAAAAACGCAGCAGCATAGAATTCACGAAGAGATGCAGATGATGCACAAGGAGAAGGAGGAGCTAAGTCGAGAAAGGGAAAAACTGTGCAGGGAAAGGGACGAACTGGGCCGAGAAAAAGAGCGCATGGAAAAATGCAGGGCGGAGTTACTACAGGAGAAAGAAATGATAAAAACGAATAAAGACCTACTGGGCAAGGAAAAACACAGACAGGAAAACAACATGAAAAATATAATTATAAAATTTAATGACTTGCAGAAGGAGCTTGATGATCTTGCGTCGGACAATTCGGTAAGGAGGGGCGACGATGCACTGGAGCTGTGCCCGCACACACACAGCAGTTACTACACTCTCGTGCGTGTAGAGCGCTGCGGTGTGAAGTAGCCATTTGGGCAAAGCCACACAAGCGAGGCCCCCTTTTGACCATCCCACACGCTTTGCAGACGAAGGAGTCCTGCTTACGGGAGAGCGAACAGAAGGTGCGCGCGCTGGAGCAGGAGGCCTCCCTGTCCAAGGTTAAGATTGTGCAAAGTGGCGGTGCCGCGTGGATCTACCTCGCCGGAAGCGCTGCTGTTACTGACGAAGGTCGCTGCAAAGTTCATCGCGAATGTTGCGGCTAATTTTTTTTTTCTCCCCCCCCGCAGAACAAAATCGCCACCTTGGACCAGAAGATGCACGAGTTAAAGGTACGCAGGGTTGAGCAGCTCATCGCCGCGAATCGGCTTCACGGTCTCTTCCCCCGTCTTCTGTCCATCTGTGCACACTAACTCAATGGCCCACCTGCATGTTAATTTCATGGAACACCCTCAAAAACCGCTCATTTGTTTCAACCCCTTAGAGCGAACTGGCCACCGAGAAGGAGAAGAGTAGCCAGCTGCAGGTAGATATTGTTGCAGGACGCACCTGTCTGAGTGTGTATCTTTAGGAGGTATACCACTACTTAACACACATTTTTTTTTTTTTTTTTTTTTTTTTTTGTCTTCCCTTTTTAGCAAGATACAGTGAATAAAACTGGCGAGCTTCTCAAGAGGAACTCTATTATTGAGGTTTGCTTTTGAAAATTTAAGAAAATCCTGTCCCGTCGACTTACATACAAATATATACATATGTCTCCCTTTGTGTGCGTTTGGAGGCACTTGCGAGTAATAATTAAAAGATGTCTCTCTGCTTCACTTTTACCTTTTTGTAATTTTTTCCCGCAGATTTTATATAACAAGCTGAAAGAGAAAGAAAGCGAGTTGGTGCTATTCCAGGTGAGATGAGAGCACTTACACTCATGCGCGGGGTGTGTGATGAACGCCTCGGTGAAGGGGTGCATGTGTGTTGTGCTTCTCCTCGACCTCTTCACAACGCATCGTCCGCGCAACCCGCCTGCTTACCACCCTTATGCCCGTTCCACCCCTGCGGCAGAATGAGAATTTGTCCCTGAAGAATCACAAGGAGGAGCTTAGCAAAATATGGGACAGCAAGAAGACAGAAATGAGCAACATTGAAGTTGATTTGTATCAAGTAAGACATGGCCACTTTCTTTTTTCTGAACCATGTTCTACACGTTCTTGTGTTGATGGTGTGTGACCACATTTTAGCTAGTTTCACCATCACCAGGTTGGTAATTTTTCCTCCTCTTTATTTTCTCTCACATTCCTTTTTTGCAGAAACTTTCCAAATTAATCGTTAAGAACAAAATCCGGGATAGGGATGACCTGCGCTTTGATGGGCATCCTCAATCGCTTCTTCTAAAAACGGTAAGCGTGACGACACGTGTGCGGTTATACATGCACCGTGTTGCATGTACACGTTGCCACGTTATGTGTTTGGTAATGCTACAACGAATGTTATTTATTTTTCGCAGCTGTGGTCCGGCTACGTCGACATTTGCAAGAGTATCCTGAAGACAAGAGATGGGTACCTTTACAGCGGAAACAGAAGCCACCGCTTCATTTGTGCTTACAACACGGACTTGGTAAGGAGAGGGGGCCGGGGTGCATCATCCCCTCGCTGCGGCCACCACGCGCCTTATTTTGATCCTCTATACATTGCGTTATCCTTTTGTGCCTTTTTTCCTTCCCCCCCGATGACAGTTCCTGGATGTGAAGAAGGACAACGGGAAGAAGTAGTAAGTCGAGTCGTCTGTGTACACGCCGAGGGGGTAGAAGCGAAGAAGCGGTGAACTGCATAACCCGATCAACCGCATAACCGCTTCTTTCCCCCCCCCCGCGCCAAAGCCTGCTTTCCTACAGAAACGAAACGAGAGGAATTTTCCACATCAGTGAAGACGAGGTGAAGAGTCTGGTGTACGTAGGTCCCCTGAGCAAATGCCGAGGACAGAGTGTTGCCCTATGCAAGAACAAAATGAACCTAGAGATGACCAAGGGACAGAGCTGCAAATATGTATTCGAAGAAATGTACGTAACGAAAAAAGGAACCCAAATAGTTCTTATTAAAGAAAAACAATCAGGCATGTATTTTAGCGGCTTGCACAAAAATATGCCACCCCAGGAAAATGAAAAGAAGAAAAAGACAGGAGTAGATAAATCTGAATACAATAATGTGGTGAGCACGCTCATTGATTATATGACCAATGAGGAGAAGGAAAAGTCCCACGGCGATATCATTTTAAGGACTTCCAACCAGAAGGTTAAGATAGAAAATGAGGGGAAGAAACGAAGTGAAAGAGTGAACAAAACTCGTCTTGTTAAAAACGACAAGGATAAATGCAACCATGGAAAATCTCCTACAGGAGAAGCCACAGCAATGGGTAAAAATGAAAATAAGACAAATGGTAAGACTGAAGTGGGGAAGAAAAACGCCAAGTTGGCGTCTCCCTCTTCCGTAACACCAAAAGGGAATAAAAAGCAAGTACCAAATGAGCAACAAATGAGTGAAGAAAATTTACATACATATAATATAGCCAAGGAGATGTTGCTTCTCCCGGGTAGCCACGACAGCAACGGATGTGATGAGAACAATCGTGAAGACGTTAACCAAGGCAGTGATGGGGGAGACAGCGCAAGCACAGTGGATGGCGCCCGTGTACCCCATTTCCATTTGAAAAACGAATACGGAAATGACACAGAGGAAGAGTCAAAATGTGTAGAAAAGGAAAAGCAAGTAGTGTCTCCCATGGGTGGCAAGAACTCTGTTGAGTCATGTTTAAAACATCCTAGTGGAGCATCTGGTAGTGCCACTTCCCTTACCAGCACAGCAGAATATAACGACACCAATATTGTGCTTACTCTAAACAAGGAGGAGGCCATTTTGTTCGAAGTTTTTAATTATGAGCAGCTAGCCGAGCATGACGCTGTGCGATTCGCCTCGGAGTATGTGTTGCATTTCCTGTCCAACTGGGAGAAGGGCGCCTACTGCTCCTCGTCCCAAGACGCATCATCTACAACGGTGTGCAGCGAGCAGAGCTCTAATGTGTTTACATCCCTCGACGGGGATTGGTGCATCCTCCCTGCGTACATGTAAGAGTGTACACATCAGGGGTATGTGGCCCATCAACAAGAAACCAAGTGCAGGATGCAAATCAAGTGTAGAATGCAAACCAAGTGCAGGATGCAAACCAAGTGTCGCGGGCACAAACACATCCCCCTGTTGACGCAGCGCAAGGGTTGCTGCTAACGCATTAAATTTGTCAAACATACAGATGACGGTGAAGAGGACGGGACAAAAAAAAAAAAAAACCAAAAAAAAAAAAAGAGGACAAGCGAGGGCAAACTTTAACGGAGATAAATAACCTCGTACAATTTAATAAACCTCTTTGCTCATTTTTTTTTTTTAATTTTTTTTTTTCTCTCTCTCTTTCCATCCGCGCGAATAGCGGATTCTTTAATGGAATTCTTTATTCGTAACATGGCATTTTTTTTTTTTTAATTTTTTTTTTACTTATTTTTCCGTACACGTTATGTACATGTGTGTGCATGCGGTGATGCCCCTTCGTTGATAATTTCGCACGCCGCCCATTGTTTGTCATCGCAGAGGTGTGGTTTTTCCGTCTATCGGTCAACTCCCCACTAGCGTTTAAAAGTGTATGCGCGTATTTGCCTTGTATAGCTTATGCGTATAAATTTATCCGGTTTCCCCGGTTATACCATTTTGGCTCATTTTAACAAACTTTACATGCATGCTGTGATTCACCTTTTTTTGTACTCATTGTTAATCTTTCCATTGACTGAAACTTTTGGCCCCTGTTTAATTTTTCGAACTTGCTTTTTCAATTTTTTGTCGTTTCCCTCATTCAAGGGTGTCGGTGTGGGGAGATATATACAATGACTCGCACAAACGTACGGCACATGCGCAGGTAGGTACACGCCGTATGTAAACACGTAACGTTACACCCGCGAGCATAACGCGCCGCATACGTGTTTGATGACCTGCGCCGGGCAGTTTACATGCTGTTGTGCTATAGAACGTGCCACCTGTTGCAAAAAAACGTCCCACACGGGGCCATTTTAAAAGCAGTCCTCAATTGAGCATTTTTCAATAAATAGACAAATTGCTGCCGCGAAAATAAAGCGCTATACGAAAAAACGCTGTTGTGTTTTTTTTTAGCAAATTGGCAAACTGGTCATTAAATGCGCGATTTTGTTCTCCCTATATTCGTTTTAATTTTGCTTCATTCCTGTGCGCCGCTTGGTTGACATGTAAAAACGTTCGCCTCTGAAATAACGCGCGCGACATGCAAGAGTTATGCATTCATGGGCACGGGGCTTACGTGGTTTAATGCGGTATGAAAAGTATACATGAAGCGTTTGTTTTTTTTTTTTTCTACAGTCCCTTTTACGAGCTCGGTGCGAGTTTTTTTTTTCTCCGCAATACAAACAATGCGTTATGAGCATCACAACGAATTAAAAAAAACGTTGAGTGAGTCTTATTGAGCGTTCATTATTTTTTCACCAAGCTCCGCAGCCACGATTATTTGTTCTCGTCACATGAAAGCAGGGTACATACGTTTAAATTGTACATATAAATATTTTATGCATACGCGGACCCGCCTTCCACCGTAAATATATATTTTTTTTTATTTACTCTCTCCATCGTAGCAAGCGACCCGAATTAACCCTTTTTTAGCGTTCAAATGGTCACGCTTTTTTTTTTTTTTAATTTAATTTTTTTTTTTTTTATATTTTTTAGTTTAATTAACTCGAAGAACCTCTTAATTTTTTGTTGTTTTTTTTGTACATTTTGTGAATTTTGCCTGTTATCTGTGCCGTTCTCGCCGCTTGTATATAACTTGGTCAAGCTTTTCGCCACTTGCGTCGCGAAAGCCAGATGAAATTTGTCTAAAGTTGTGATGTGACTTACATAGTTCTTGGGACGCGCTCCCCAGCGTGATAAACACACAGTTTTGTACATAAATATAAGAGGCGAATGTATTATTTATACGTTGCTGCTGTTCTGCTTCTTGTTCTTCCGCTGTCTATGCAATGCGCTTGCGCATGATAGCAGAGGGACTATATATTACAACAACTCATTTTGTACACGCAGGGCGCCTCCGCTGAGGTCTCACCCGAGTTTTAGAAGCAGACAAGTAGTGCATATTTATTTTGAATTTGCATTTTAGAGAAAAAAGAACAAAAAAAAAAAAAAAAAAAAACACGTCAGCATACTTTTATAATCAAAATCTTGGTTGCTTTCCATTTTGTTTTTTTTGAAGAATCTTTTTTTTGTGAATGAATCGCTATCCGTTTTTTCCCCCCACTCAGAAAGAAAAAAGTTTTTTTTTTACCTTAACCGTTCATACAAAAGTTAGAAAAAATATTAACCATTCAGAATTTTTTTTAAGACTTCCTCGTTTGGGAATATTTTGGTCTTCAACAAGGCATTACATCAACAGCACAAGAAAGAGTGCTGTTGGCAACGAATGGGGAAAAGAACAACGGCCCTGCTTGTTTAGAAACATGTCAGGGTACACACCGAGCAACGTGTCCTTTGGACAGGGATCCACGTGGCCCGAATGGAATGAAATCTTAGCAAATTATGCGCCAACAAACCTGACTGACCGAAATGCGAATGAGAATCATAACAATAAAAATAACGTTGACGATGGTGATGATGAATGTGACAACAGCAGTAGTAGCCCCCCGATGAGTGACACCCATAGCAGCGCGAACCAAAGTAACAACAAGCATGTTGCGCAGGAGGAACTCATGTTGGAGTGCATTCCGTACAAAATTGGGAAAAGCAAAAAAAAAAAAAAAAATAACTGGGACACCATGGAACAGCTGCTATTCAAATTAACGAACGGAAAATTTAAAGCACAAAAACACTATGTATACACGGCAGATGGGTACAGATTAAATTTATATCGAATTGTAAGTACAAATAAGGACGATAATTTTTCAAAAAAAAAAGGAGTATTTTGTTTAAATCATGGGTTATTCGAATCATCCATCACTTATACTTGCAAAGGGTATGAATCTTTAGCCTTCAACATTTTTGCCAATGATTATGATGTGTGGATAAGCAACAATAGGGGAAATGCCTTCACAAAATTTGTGGGTAAAAATTACGCCCTGAAAAAGCTAAGGGAAAGGTACAGCCTGCAGGATTTAAAGGACATTGGCGTGGATGTCAGTGAAGAGATGGCCGCACAGGGCAGTAGCTGTGCCACTCGTGACGATGAAAAGAAGTGCATAACAAATGGAAGCACCAATGATGAAGACAGCTTCCCTGAGGAAGGAAGGAAAAACACCAACTTACGAAAAGCAGAAAGAAAGGATGATAACACTGTTAACAATAATGGGAAGAACAACCCCGAGGGGGATAAAAAAAGTCAGGAGGAGTGTAATGGCAAGAAGGACAATTTGGCCTACGGAATAGAAGACAGTCCAACCCCCCCAGGAATGTTAGGAGATACATCCAATTGTGACTCCAACGTGGTTAGCAACGTCGCTAGCAACGTCGCGCACGTGCCCAAGGAGTTAGAAAATGGGGAAGCAACAAAAGGAGAGGGCGAGGATGAAGTAGAGGAACTGATTAATTTGAATAAACAGAGTGAAGACCAATACGATAGCGACGACGATGATGACCTGATTGAGGTAAATGAACCTGACATGGAGAACTGGACATTCGATGACATGGCAACCAAAGATCTCCCAGCAATTATAAAGTACATTAAAAGCAAAACACAAAAGGAAAAAATTGTCTACGTGGGCTTCTCTCAAGGAAGTATACAACTGTTAATCAGCTGCTGTCTGAACGACTTTGTAAATAGCAGCATTGCAAGGACCTATCTGTTGTCCCTGCCCATTGTCTTAAAAAAGAAGGACGATATGATGAAGTCGGTGCAACTGTTTGTGGCCTCTTCCAGGTGGCTGAAGCAAATTTTTGCTAGTAAAGAATTCCTACAGAAGATGTTGCCGGAAACAATTTGTACTAGCCTACTCTTCACCGCAGCTGATTTATTTACGCATAATTTTTTTAAGTTTTACACAGATGACTTGGACGATAATTATAAACACATTTACTTTAGATATACGCCCAGTGGGTCAACGTCCCCAGCAAATGTAAAAAAATGGTGCGATGCTATGAATGATGGACCCATATCTGAGGCCATAGACAAATATGCTTATAAGTGCTCCTTTCCCATTACAGTTGTATATGGCATTAAGGATTCCTTGGTGGATACCGAAGGGTCCATTCAGTATTTGAAGAAAATATTTACCAAGAACAACTTGAAGATTATCACCCACCCGGAGTGGTCACACATAGACCCTGTCCTGACGGACAACGGGAACATTGTCCTGTCGTGCATTCTGGAGGATATGAAGAGGGAGGAGGAGGGAAAGAAGCAGGGGTAGGTGAATCAGGAGGGGAAACCCCACCGGAAAGTGAGCACCAAACACGGTTGAGTGAGTCGAGTTGCCCAACCTGACTTTTATATGCCCGTTGTTGCGTGTTCACTGAGCTCCTCTTCTGCGAGCCTTTCCACTGCGTCGCCCTCACCTGTGGAGCACTCCAGCGTACCTTTTTATTTCCTTTTGTTTTTTTTTATTTTGTTTCGTTTTCTTTTTTATTATTCTCTTTTTTTTGTTTTGCGCTTGGTTTTCCGCTTGACTTCCTAATGAGCTGCCACGGCGCTCTGTCCCCTTATAGACGTTGTCAATTTAATTCATTTAAATTACCTTTGCGGGGTGACCTCAGTGATCGTTCTCTGTCCCTTTTATCACGTGATGGACAGAAAAAGAAAAGAAGGTACTGGAGTAACCCTTTTGTGCAAAGCCGCCACATCGTGGTGCGCACGTGGGCAGGAAATCCACATGTTAGATATAAAAAAAAAAGGACCCTTTGTTTTTTCTGCATTGTTTCACGGTACAGGGAATTGGAGTCGCTACTTCTTTTGTGTGACCCATGCGCCCTAGTGGGCCATTTACGGTTGTATCCGTTCGAGGCAGGTCCCACGTAAATTACTTAATTTCATGGGGAGTGTATAAGTTAGCAAATGTTGGTGTGACAAGGGAAAAATGGGGAGCGCGCAAAATGGACAGCGCTCAAAATGGAGAGAGGTCAACATGGAGACCGCTCAAAAAGGACAGCGCTCAAAATGGTGACCGCTCAACAGGGAGACAGGTCAACCTGACGTGCTCTACGCAGCGAGCACGCGCTGCCGCACCCAAACTCACGAGAGCTGCATAAACTCCGCGTAGTTGTTAAAGTAAAAGGTGCACACCTGGAATTTCGAGTTGAGGGCGACCAACAGTGTGCACGGCTGGAAGCTACTCAGGGCGATATTCTTCCTCTCGTTGAGGGGAGCAAAGTCCAGAGCCACAATTGGCCTATCCCTAGACGAGTAGAATAACTTCCTCTTCTTCAACACGTTGGAAGTGAATTCGTACAAGTAGTTCTTTTGCACAATGCCATTGGATCTACCTGTTCCCTTGTGTCCTTTCCCTCCTTTAATCCTCTTTGTAACTCCAATGGCCACAAAGCTGCAATTGTATTTGTCAAATTTAACGTATTCGAGGATTCCGTTTTTAATTTGTTTTTTATAAACCAAGTGGAACTCATGTAAGGAGTAAATAAAAATGGTATCGAATGCGAAGAAGCAAATGTGTGGCACATGTCCCTTTGCCTCTCCTTTATTTGTGTCCGTCTGCATTATTTCTACTCCCTTGTACAACCTAAATAGGTACTCATTAAGGCCCGTGTAAATGGTGTGACTAATTACTGCCAGCACTCTCAGTGTCGTTGTGTTCCATATGGTTATTAATTGGTCATGACAGATGCACAGGATTTTTCCGTCGCTAGTAATGTCCCCTCCTAGGATGGGATGGTTCTTGTGGTTGATTCGCTTAATGACAGTGATGTTGTGAATGGCGTCTTCGTGAGTGGGGTCCCCTTGGTCTGCTTCTCCTTCGTTGGCGTCATCTTCTTTAGCGCCATCTTCCTTAACGCCACCTTTCCGCGAATCCTTTTTCGAGTGACCCTCCTGGCCGCTGTTCTCACCAGCATCACCGATATCCCCCCCATATACACTAGCCACGTGGTGCAATCTCCGCACCTCCCTGTAGTAGTTGCTGCTGCTGGCCTGCGTCTGATACACGTCCACCTCATAGTCTGTGTACACGCTGGGTTCGAAAATACGTTCGCTCTTCTCCAAGCACCACACACTCATATCTCCTCCACATTCCAGTACGAGGAAAAGGCTGAGGAAGGGATGACTAATGACCATTCTGTACTTGTCTAGTTCGTCCTCTACAGGGGGTTCTGTGGAATTGGGTAACGACTGTCCTTCACTGCTTCCCCTTGCATGTGTTCCTCCCACTTTGTCACACGTGATGGACTGTTCATAAATGGGCTCGTAGTCCAACTTGTTATTCACGATCCTCCATATTTTAAAGGTGTAAACAATCTCCACCAAGGAGTTGACGTTGACGTTGTTCCCACAGGCCTCCTCTAGCTCGTAGTTCCTCCTCTCAATGGTCATTAGCAAATGCCTACTCTGAGTGAAAGAGAAGAAAAGGAGTTCCAAGTCGTTCACGGTCTCAACGCTGGACCTACTTTTGTATGTCACTTGTAAAGGACACACAAACTTTATGTGTTTGTCTTTTTCCACGTTGTACAATTGAATGTTCGAGAAGGAGGTTAAGAAGGAGAATACCAAGCCCCGGTTGGAGTCACAATAAAATAGCATTTGATATTTTTTATACAGATTGTTTTGTACATTCGTATGGTTAAAAATGCTCCTTTCGATTTCGTCCTGAATTTGCTTGAAACTTATTATGGCTTTCTTTCTGTCCCCTTTTTCCTTTCCCCCTCCCCCAGCGCTGGACAGAGGCGCGCCCTGTTCCTGTTCGCCTTCCCCACAGGAACTGAGTTCTATCCCTTCGCTGTCACCTTGGCCCTCCTCGAAGTCCTCTCCGGCGTCACTACTCCCCGAGCAGTCGCTGCTCGTCCCTTCGCTGTCACTTTGGTGTGCGTCCATATTCGCCACGGGGTTGGTTGAGGCATCTTCGTTAAGGACCCCGCCCCCAATGACGTCTTCCTCTCCCTGCAGAAAGCCGGAAGAAGTGCGCCCCCCCAGGGCGTAATTGTATGAGCTGGAAATTTGTCCCTCGAAAATCTTAATGCTATTTCTTATGCTGTCGTATACATTGGGGTAATTCAAAAACAGGTGTCTCAAGGAGAGGGGCATGTACAGACCCACATATGAATAGAAGAACAATCGGTGATTGTAATTTATAAAGTGAATGGTATTGTTCAGCGAGTTACAAATAATTAGGTTTTTCTCTTTATTCACGTAAGTGCAATAACAGGGGGATCCCAGGTGAGGAATGTATTCGCTTATTCCACTGTCTATGTCATACATAAGAATGACGGCTTCCTCTCCACAAGAGATGACTTTCCTTCCTTCAATGGTTATATTATACACTGCGTGGCTGTGCCACTTGTACTTGACCACGTGTGCCTTTTGCATGTCCACGATTTTGTCTTTCCGCAGTTGGAAGTTGATATACGGGACGCTCGCACTGTGTTGCATGTGTCGCTCTCCCCCGTCCTCATGGCCAACCTCGGCACGAGCGTCGTTGCCACCGTCACCGCGCGCGTTGCTGTCACCCTGCTTCCTATAGTAGGCCACTTCATACCCGGGTATGTAGGGGTAAGCGTTCTCGATCGCCTTCAACAAGGACATAAGGTTGGTCTTGCGCGAAGAGTCCCTACTGTCCCCCCCGAAGGCTTCCCCCACAAAAGCATTTCTCCTCAGCATGTCTTGTGCCGTATCCTCATCATCCTTCTTCACTTGATCAAACAAAAAAATTTGTATGTAGCCATTAAGGAATCCAATAGAGAGAAAATTTTCATCGCTTAATTTTACTGCAGAAATGAAATTCTTAAAGTAAAGGAGATTGTATCTCCTCTTCACGGTGTCGTATATGATGACAAGGTTATTGTTGGCTAGCACCAGCTTGGTAAGACTTGGGTTCATGTCGATCATGGAGAAGTAAACATACTTTATCTTCACGAGTGGCATTATTTTCACCTTTGCAGTGACGTGCATGCGTTCTTTGCGTTTGCCATGATTCGCTTTAAGCTGCTGCACTTCTGTCTTGCGCCTCTTCCCAGTCGCTTCATCCCCAGGGGGAACAAAACCGTTCACTTGACTTGCATACCCCCTGTCATTATTGTGCGTGCCTACTCCGTCCACATGGCCAGCCGGTCTTGTCTGCAACTTTCCCCGCTGCTCACGCCGCTGCTCATGCTTATCCTCCCCATCCGAACTGCTCACCATCAACTCGCACGGAAATACATCCTTGTTGAAGGAGTCCTCCGAGTCGGAGGAAAAGGTGTACGTCACGTGGGTGGGTGGGGCGGAGGAGGACTCGCCCAGCTGAGTCTTCCCTACACCAGATTTCGTCTCCTCCTGTTCACCTACCTCCCCATTTAAATAACAAAGTGGAGACTCATAATTAAATAAAAATCTGAGCAGGTAAAAATTCATAAACATTTTTTTCTCCTCTAGATCAAACTCCCAAGTAGCAAAACAGAGTTCGCCATTTTTCCCAAAACTGTTAATATAAAATAAATTTTTTATAAAAAATTTTTTCACAAAATGAAAACTTCTGTCACTAATTTGATACAAGTAAATGTAATTATTAAAACTTTTCAACACTAAATATTCTTGTTTGGTTTTTTTGTCTAGAAAATAAAATATGCTATCTATAAAGAAGGAAGTTACTATTTTTTTTTTTTTTTTTTTTTTTAAATCTATCAGCAGAATTCCACTTTCGCTACTAACATAAAAAATATTTTTCCTGCTGACGATTGGTTTGTTTTTTATTAAATTTCCCGCCAGGTGTAACTTTAGTAACTTTGCTTCTTTGTTGAAACTAGCATTTTGCAGAAGCAACTGTTTGTGTAATTTGCTCGTGTACTTATTTTTGGCTAGCTCTTCTTCCAGTTGATTTAATTCTTCTATTCTTGCCTTCTCATCTTCCTTGGTCTCGCCACGGAAGGTATTCGGCTGGAACTCCCGGCTCAAGTACGCTTTGGGCCGCCCCATTGGGTAGACTGTTTATAGTGGCGCAAAATGGGAACCCACACGCACGGAAGAGATTTTCTCCACGGTGAATTGGTTTCACCTGCGTGGTTAGAAGTATTCACATAAAAAAAAAGGGCTATATCCCTTCCTGCAACTGCGCAAAGTGCAGCTCCTGTTATCTCCCCTTCCCTGGCAGTGTTTTATCTCCCACTTATATAAATGTGCTTTAACTTCAATTTTTTTTTCCTCATCAAATTTTACCATGTGATGCAGTGTCGATTTGTGAAGAGACTAAAAAAAAAAAAAAATGGGGCAACCCGAAGGTTCACCTTTTTTTGGAGTGCTTCCCCTCTCTCTCTTCCAGTTGGAGGAACGTTTTCACATGGATGTCTCTGGTTAGGGGTACAGAGTGCCCGTCCGTTAACGTGACAACACTGCCACATATAATAACCCGCGCTTCAGTTGCGCAGATTAACGGACTGGTAAAACACGATGTCCCGTCTCCACGAACAAGCTTGTGTGCCCCCCAAGTTGAGTTAACAACCGAACGTGCAGAGTTTTCCCGTATATACTCCTGCACTGCGGGGGGGATGTTAGCCGACTTGCAACCACGTCGCCTTTTTAAAAGCGTTCGGGTGAAAAGATGGCATAAACAGGCAATACAAAACATAACCCTAAAAAGGTAACGATTTCATCTTTTCTTTATTTCTTTGTTTTTTTTTTTTTCCCAAAGTGGGTAACCATTTGCAGAGCTGGAAAAAAAACAAAAAAAAAAGGAAAAATCTTCCCCTTTGTTGGATTTTATTTTACAAAAAAAAAAAAAAAAAAAAAAAAAAAATTGGCTGCAGGGGGGCAGGATGGGTTTACATATTATAAGATATAACGCCCCCGTGCAATTTTGGTAAAACCAGCTAGCCTCTATATATATGCAGGGATACCATAATAAATATTTTATCGTCCCCTAATGTAACAAAATGAGAATACGACCAAGCGGGGCAACAGCAACATACGCACTGACCGAAGGGGCAACCTTTATGGCCTTTTGCCCATTTTTTATTGGGATGGCGCGTTTAATAAATAACTGCTGGCAAAATGCGATATTGCATTTTCATTTTCGTTGCACGGCGCCTTCCCTTGAGGGAGATACAATTGAAAGGGCAAGGAAAACAATACCCACATAGGGTATGGAAGCCACTTGGGAATAAAAAAAAAAAAAAAAAAGAACATTTTTTCCCGTTTTAACCACCCCCTTTTTTTTTTTTTTGTTACTCCCTTTAGATACATTCAAAATACGCTAGTGGGAAAGAGAGGGTCATTTTTTTTTTTTTTTTTTACAAAGAAGCCAAACCAATATGAGAAAGACTTCGAATGGGTGACTTCCAAAACCTTGTAGCAGTCACTCCGTGTTTATAATAATGTCCCGCAGGTTATCCGTGACGTAACTGTAGATGGCGTCGTATTCGCTGTAGAGCTGTTTTAACTCCTCCTTGGATTCATCCTTCCTTTTCTGCAACGCCTTCATTTCCTGGCACTTCTCTTCCTGCGCAGGGGGGTGGTTTAAAAGCGGTGCACATGTATTAACTCGCCTGTATGAGGAGAAGAGCATGTGTGCGCGCAAGCGCATGAAATATACCCTGTCGCCAACACATTAACGCGACACTTGCACTCACTTCGTTCATTAACGAATCGGGCAGCTCCTCTATGCAAGAGTCTATCATTTTTAAAATCAAGTTCATTCGTTCCACCCGGTCTAGGATTTCTTGCTGCAGGGGGGCCTCAAAATAGGGTTTCACGAAATATTTTTTGGGGGGTCCTTCCTCCCAGGAGCGTTGCGTATGCTCATCGTCCGTCTCCTTTCTGTCTGTGGTGTCATCGTTTGATTGTCCATCCGATGAACCGCTTGACTCTGAGTACGACCGATCGCTCGTTTCTTCACTTGAAGGGTCCTCCGATTCGTCCGTTTCGCTGTCCTTTTTCTGGTCACCCTCCCCCGTAGGGTTGTCCGCCGCGTCTTTCGCTTCGTGTCCTTCATCCTTATATTCGTTCACTTCTTCATCATGTTCCTCTTTTGTTTCTACTTTGACCTCCTTTACCTCATCGTTTACTTCTTCTTTTACCTTCTCTTCTACCTCCCCCTTCACCACCGCCTGTACTTGTTCTACCGCTTCCTCATTCTCCCGCGGCTTCTGCCTAATCTCGGCGGCCCTTTCCTTGAGCAAGTTCACAAAGTACGCATATTCGCTCTCCTCCTCTGGAACAACTTCCAGCTCCTTGGGCTCCCCTTGGTAGGATAAAGTGCTCAGAACGTCCTTCAAGTGGAACGATAAAAAGGTGACGGGGTGAGACGTGTGTGTGTGTATAAAGTGCTGCACGCAAACATGACTGACCAGTGTAGACACAATTTTGCCTGTACGGTTCAGGCGAACTTGTGCATATGCCTCTTAGCCGCTGTGTGCATGCGAGTTGGTGTGCACATTTCACTCTCTCAAACTAACGACGACGGAGTAGAGGCAGTTGTTCAGTAAGTTCTGCAACTTCTTAATCGGGTCATTCGATGGGGGCGATTTAAAATTGTTAATCATTTCGGAGATTGTGTGAAACGGGCGTGGTAGTCCTATTTTGGCAAAATCAAACCTATTGCTACACGATGGACGGAGTTTGTCCCGACAAAAGGGGGAACGGCATGCATTAAAAAAAAAAAAAAAAGTCACATAAGATATCCTTTAAACTAAAAAAAAAAAGTTTTCTTTAAAAAGTGTAGTTGCTCTTAACGGGAAGGAGTTTTAAAAAAAAATAAAATAAAAAGAAGCATTCACAAAAAATAAACAATGAAACAATTAAAAGGGAACAAAAAGGAGTTGGAGAAAAAAAAAATAATAATAATTTACGTATTCTTCAAATTGATAATTTAAAAAACATAACGTGGGCGGCAAACTCAATCGAAAGAAAAAGGGCACACCCTGCAAGTGTATACAAATATACACCATGCGGACACACAATTGGCCCCTTTTCTCAAAAAGAGAAGCAAAAAAAAAATAACACGCCACACAAGGTGTACAAAACATAACACCCAAGGAAATTTAAAAAAGAAAGAAAAAAAAAATTTATAAACAAGTGGAGAGTATATATTTATACTTAAAAAAAATTCATTAAGCGATTAACCACATTAAAAAAAAAGGGATTCTAAGGGCTACGTAAAAAGGCATTCAATCCAGGTTACATAACCAAAAGCTGCAGGAAAAAACCCGCATTCGCTGCTGCGTCCACCATCTGAGCAATTTCAACGCCTGATACGGGCTACACAAAACAAATGATTAAAAGGAAAACAAAATTTTTTTTTTTCCATATTTACACATTTTTTAAAATACAAGAATACGCGCAAATACAGGAGGCTGGAGTGGGGGATTTGAACAACTTAATATTGTGCCAAGGGAGCTTTCAAAAAAAAAAAAAAAAAACAGACAACTGCTCAGACTGTGACTATTTCAGAATTTCAAACTCAAACATGCTGGTACGCGGATGTTATTGCCTTCATCGAGTTAGTTAAAATGTTCATAGCTAACGTGGCCTGCAAAAAGGGAAGTGTAATCGTGAAATTGGGGTGTGTGTGGCGTAAGTTATGCAACTGCCTTCAGGCATCGGCGATGGTGCACAAGGAGGAATAATTCCACATGCAAATGCACTGCTGCTGAAACTTCTTCCATTGGGGTGGATGCGCTGGGAAAAACGGTGCCAGAAATAAATGCAGCGTTCCCTAAAAGGTAGCACATTCCTACGCATGTAACACACAAGCGTATAACATACAAAGTATGTGCATACTTGCCTCAGCTTCCCTTACATTTTTACTTTTGTTCTTATCGGGGTGAATCTTCAGGGCCAGGGCGCGGTAATTTTTTCGTACTTTCCTTTTTAACTCCTTGTCACACAAGTCCATTTTGGACAATTTCTTGATCTACTCAAGGGCATAAAAAAAAAAAACAAAAAAAGTGTGGGATGGAAATAATGATTACGCAGGTTTACGCATCCAATTGTGAAAGAAAAATAAACACGTGCATCGTGACACTCATCCATATGTACATGCTTTTTCTCAAGCCCGCGAACTGCCGCGTGACATACCTGGAGAACTTTCCACGGGTCGTTGGCGTTCCTTATAATCCTCTCAACTGAAGAGTGAAAAAAAAGGGATGCACATGCGTTGTTCAGTTGGGTGAGCATACCGATCTGCACATGCGAGTTTGGGCATGAAGCTAATGTATAACACACATGCGCACGGGTTGTCTCTTAGGTCTGTTTAAAATTGTCACTACCATCATCGGTGCATTCTGCGCCGGCGTTCTCGCTGCTGTCTGGCAAGGCTGCACAGGGGGAAAAAAAAAAAAAAAAAGTGATTGGGGGGAAATGGCTAGTCAGCTAGCTAAAATGTATATACGTACATATTTTTTTTTTTTCTTGCACATGTACGGGCGCAATTATTACCATTCTCCGGATTGATGCGGCAAAACACTTTAGCCTGCAAAAACAGGTCCCTCTGCTTTTCCATGGTGTCCAACTCTTTGAGGCGAAAAAACTCAGTCGCGTAGTTTTTCTGGTGCTTGCCCTTACACTCGAACAGGCAATAATCATGCGGGCACCACAAATTGTGCATGATGTGAAAGAGCGACAGGTTGAATTCGTGTTGTTTATTGCACTTGTACGTGTATAAAAGGTTTTGTGCGTCTGGGCGGATAAAGTTTATGCCTACTAACGTCCCTTTGTACTTGGTACCGTGCGATATGAGAAGCTTTAAAAATTTCCTGCACGATTTGCAATATTTGGACGGCGCATCGAGTGTTCGTAAACAGGAAGTTTGCATGTTTGCGGAGTCGTTGACACTGTCTGGGTATGTCTCACTTCCCCTTTGCGCTGCCTGTGTACATTTGTAAAACTTGCAGTAGAAGTCCTTCACCTTTTGTTCTTCCTTCTTCTCCATGCCGCTGAAATTATTGTCGTAATTCAGTTTTATACTTGGCGCCTCCTCCGCACTAAAAATCTTTTTAAACGACGCACTTTTTACACTGTCCCATTTTTCTCCATTCGTGCGGTTTGCGCCACATTGTTTATTTTTTATGCCCGCACCTGCGATTGCTATGCTGTTCCTTCTGACGCTAATGCTACTCTTTTTCCGTTTCATTGCAAGGGGGGTTTTCAAATAATTGAAGGTGCTACTTCCACCTATTTTCTTTCCGTTATTGTATCCCTCCACCAAATTGTTGTTTCCCGTGTTGCTACTTTTTGGCCCATTTTCACCTGAACGGCAAGGTAAATTTTGATCTCCGTCCAAAAGGATAACATCATCATTTTCTTCTTCCTTATCAACTTTCATTTTTTTTTTATTTTTCTCCAAAATTTTGCCACTGTTGCACTTGTTCGATAGCTTTGAAATGATGTCCCTGGGTCTTTTACTAAAGTTCAGTATTCGCTCTTTTAAAAGATGATGAGGGAATTTATGTGTCTGTCCTTTTTTATCTGTACATTCAGTGTTCATGTAAAAATTGTTCCTTTTACTATTTATCATATAAATGTAATTTTTTAAAATTTGTTGGGGGTTTCCCTTAACAAAGTTGCTTACGTTTCTGTGTGCAGGAATCTGTATCGACGTGATGTTCTTTATTTTGTTTTTTTTTTTTTCATTCACTTGGAAAGAGTGTATTACAGGAGATTTAATGGAGGATTCAATTTCGATTGTCGGTCTTGTTCCCCCTAGTGAGTGTTTTGGGATGCTGCATTTCGCACAGATACATTCCCTTATAGTGTTTATGCTCCTTAGTATGGTGTGTTTTTTGCTGGGGTTGAGAAAGTTGCTGTTCAGTGGGGAAATCTTCTGCCCACTTGCGCTCTCTTTGATGGGGATACTCGGTTGGGTAATCCTCACGTGGTGGTTCATTACAGCCCATGTGGGGGGAGCGTCCTGGTTCAGGCGTTGCGCTCCACTAGGGGTCAAACTACTCAGTCCACTTTGGGTCACACTGTTTGCCTGACTTTGATGATCGTCCGCCTCGCCCTCTTCAGTGTTAATACTCTCTTTCATCTTCCCCGTTTCGCACTCAGTTTTAACATTCGTCGTGTTTCCCCTCAATTCGTTCCTTTTTATGTGTTTATGCCCCTTTTGTGGATTGAGAGTTTATTATTCTGGGGGGCTAGGTTCAACCAGGGGTTGCTCGGTCATTATTATTATTATTTTTTTTTTCCTAATTAGCAGAAACAAAATTGAGAAAAAAAAACAAAAAAAGATCTCTTTACAATTAATTTTCTTTCATTCTTGTAGTTTTTTATATTTTTTTAAAAAATATTTTTCTAAAAAAATGCACAACGATGAGTAGTCGGCAATATGGAAACACGGGGGAATGAACCAAGTGCGTGGGAAAAAAAAAAACAAAAAAAAAAAAAAAAACAAACTTGTCCCTCGGGCTTAGTCTCAAAAAGTGATTGCGGAAGAGCGGGTGAATAGACGGAGTTGTAAGTTCGTTACGGTTTGTTAAGAATGTGACAAATTATGTACAAAAGGGTTAAATTTGATGCATGTTGTGTGTGCCCGCTTTTCCTTTTTTACATTTTTTTTTCTCCCAGCTTGCATATTGTTAAAAGTTACCAAGCTGTGTGGGTTAACAACAGAATGTTTTTTTTTTGTTTTTTTGTTAAGCGAATTAGCGATACTTAATTCTCGTCCGTATTTTATTATTTTTCCAAATGGGTTTGCATAATATGGAGCACCTTGCGAATTTCACTTTTTTGAAATGAGCGGGCGCCATATCGCGTTACGCAATTCGGCTGTGGAGTGTATGTTGCAGATCTGCATCCCCATGAGAATAGCGTCACTTCCAATAGGACGCTTCGCACATATGGGTGACGCGCATGCGAAATTGTGTTGTGCATGGGAAAATAAATTGTGCGTCCACGCTGTGGAGTCCCATTTGATACGCATATGTGCATGCGTAGGGTATGCATACCTTCTTCCAGGAGGGCGCCTCCTCCCTCGCCTGGTTTGCATCTTACACAACAGGGAAGAAGTTGTGAGATATTTTTTACTTATTCGTTTTTCGATTCCAAAAAATTTGCCACACGTAAATATCGCAAATGTGTACATTTATGTCTATACAATATTTCTGTGCATGTAAAAAATGGGGTCCCAAAATGGGAAGTTTTTTTTTTTTGTTTTGTGACTTTTTAGAAGTTAGCCAAATTTTTGTGAAGCCTAAAAAGTTCGCATTTTCTATTATCTCAGAGAAGATGACGTGATTAAAAAAGCATTTGGCTGACGAGGTTTAGCGAACGGGGCGGGGGAAGGAACATATAGACGAGGGGTGGAATACACTAACCCGTTCACATGTTTCGCGCGCAATGGTGTGTAGTAGCTTCATTCGTCTTTCCTTTCCCAAAGAAGGTTTCGTCTTTTTATGTTTTACAGAAATGGTAAAACGGACTGTCACCATATGCCACCTAGCACTGGGGCTCCGTAGGAGAATGCGCCAGACCGACTGATTGGTTCATCATCCCTCCTGCAGGTCTTGCCTTCCAACTCGAGTATTCATAAACACCGGCATGCCGCTTACCACGTTACGGTTGTGCTTTTCCAGTGGGACACAAAGAACACCCCAAATTAAGTCACCCAGGGAAAAGAAAACGTGCACTTAGATTATTATATAAATGTATGTGTACGTCTCCCCAAGGAGGGGGCCCATTTTTCTGAAGTTTTCCAAATTAAGCTTACGTAACTTGTCCTTCCCACATTTGGGGAAAACAAAAAACGGCTAGTACTTTTAAAATAATTTCGTAAAAACGGGAAAAATCAGTATAATGACATCCCATTTTTTTTTTTTTTTTTGGTTCACATAAAAATTTTCCTTTAGCAGCAGGCGGTTAAATGGCGCGGTGCCACCAATAAAAAATAAATTCAAATGGGGCATGCGGAATGGCCTTACGGCCCCAAACGTTATTATGGCGCCACTGTTTTTTTTTTTTAATTCCCCGTTGCGCGTCGCAAGCAAGTAAAAAGTTGGAATCCTGCCCATCATAAAATCATCCCCCTAGTGCACCCCGGCGTGCTTCCGTCGGCTGACCACGACATGTAGCAACCTCTGTATACAAATTTCATCAACGCACTGGTAGGACAGTTAACCAAATGGGTGACTTCCGTAAAAGCGTGGCTCACCCATAGGTCCGCAGTAAGTACACGGTAAGCCCACGTTTCGGCGCGCGCAAAAAAAAAAAAAAAAACGTATATGCCTCTCTGTGTTGTTATGCACGTGAGATAATTTATATCCTTCGCATAGGTATTATGGTGCGGTGCCTTTATATTTGGTTCTCCTTCACGCGGGAAATTTTGTTTTTTAAGAAAAGGCCTTCTCCAACGGTCAAAATATTTCCTCCCCCCTTAGGGTTTGTTCAGGGCTTAGCGCGACGGACGACACGTTTTTTATCATCTGCTCATCGCGACATACGTGCAACTCGGGTGAGAAAAACAACTTGTATCTTTCAAAAAATAAAAATAAGCACAACGGGAAAACGCGAAAAAGGTGAAACCCACAAAACAGCGCAAAATTGAAGGAAAAAAAAAAGTATTAACATAATACGCGTCACCATTTTTTAAAGTGCAGAAAAAATTCTCGCGCACAGATAGAAAATATATAAAAAACCGCCACTTGCGCAGAAAAACGAATATTTTTATGTTGCTGCAAAAGCTTGGAGAACAAAGCCAGAATTAATTTTTTTACAAACCATTTTGAGATTATTTAAAAAAAAAAACAAAAATAAAAAATACTCGGCCGTACAGCGCATATACCAGCGGAACATACTTTTCCCCATTGATCCATTTGCTAATTTAACTGCTGTTCTCCCCTGCGCAGTGCCATCTGCTTTTTTATAAACTCCAGTAGAAAAAACAATAGCCCGCCGAAAATGTCACTACAAGTTATTGATCAAAACGATTTTCAGCACATACTGAGAATCTTAAATACCAACGTTGATGGAAAGGAAAAGGTCACCATTGCTTTGACGGCCATAAAAGGAATTGGAAAGAGAATGGCCACTGTGATTTGCAAGCAGGCCAATGTGGACTCGACGAAGAGAGCAGGTGAACTCACCACGGAGGAGATAAATAACGTAAGTGACAGAGAAGGGACTGCGATATGCCTAGTGGGATTTGCAGCAATCCGCCGAGTTGACGTTTCGATCGGGGTGGATATACTTTATCCCATGTACCTGCTCTGTGTAGCACGCCAACAAATTTTTTTTTTTTTCCGTATTCCATGGTGCACTCTTCTGTTATTTGCTTCCCCTACGACACTCACGTACGTGGGAAGTAGTGTAAATGTACGCTTAGCATACATATATGCATGCCTCCAACCACATGATAACCTTTTTCCCCTCTCAACAGATTGTACATATCATGAATGCCCCATCGCAATTTAAAATCCCTGATTGGTTCTTAAACCGAAGGAAGGATTTAAAGGAAGGAAAAAATTTGCACGTCATCGCCAACCAGCTGGACTCCTACCTACGTGAAGACTTGGAAAGAATGAAAAAAATCAGACTCCACAGAGGTCTACGTCACCACTGGGGACTGAGAGTTCGTGGTCAACATACCAAGACCACTGGACGAAGAGGAAGAACTGTTGGTGTTTCCAAAAAGAAGGGAGCGTAAATGAATTAGCAGCTAGCCATTTTGCATTTTTTTTTTTTTTTTTTTTTTTTTTTAATACATTTTGCATGAACGGTTCATATAATTTTGGTAAAAAAAAAAAAAAAAAAAAAAGACGAAAACAACTTCTTGTGTTGTTGTTGTTGTGCATATTTATATGGCTGAACTTAATTAAGCAGAGACCGAATCCCCGTAACAGGTGTATTTAAAACAACCTTGAGTCGACTTTTACAATTAAGTTAGTGCAAGCGAGGTGGAGGAATTCTTTTAATTCCTGTTGAGCATACCATATTGTTCTACTGTCTCCTCGTCCCCCTTAGCCTTATTGGGGGGTAGTCCTACTCTCCAGCACCGCTAACAGTGCTAACACAAGCGCATGTGTATGGGTAAGCATGGCCATCGTGCCACCATTTCAAAATGTTCCAAAGGTGTACTTCCATAAGAATTAATCGAAACTACACCATCCATGAGCAGCTTTGTACACAGTTAAATTTTGCCTCGGCTAATTAAATTATGCGCTATCGCAAATGCCTTTTGGGGTCGGGAGGTGCATAAATTTCGCATACACATGTAGGTGGACGTTGTAGGGGTTGTAAAGCTGTCCCCCTCACCATACCTCTTGTAAACAAATTCATTAAAAAATATAAAGGACCATATTTAGGTGAAACCTTTCCAACTTAAATGTGCCATTTAAAAATTTTTTTTTTAATGGAGGGGCAATAAAAGAGGATAACGTTAATTTTGCTATTTATTTTTTTTTTTTGCGTAATAAAACTAGGTCGTTTTGCCAGTTGCTGCTTGTGCTTCGATTAATGGGCAGGGGAGGAGGAAGGGACAAGTGCAGTAACAGGCGCTAATATGAGTAGCTAAAAAAAAAAAAAAAAAAAAATTTTTAATTATAAAACCATTTTCAATGCAGAAACAAAAATGTAGGAGGCACGAATTTTGGTAAAAAAAAAAAAAAAAAAAAAAAGGTCACTTTGAAATAAAGGACAACTGGCCAGAAATGCTGTGCATGTGTGTCAAGCGGGTGAGGCAAAATTGAGGAAGGTGTGCATTTTAATTATAATTCTGTTCCAAGGCTTCTATCATTTGGGCTCCCCCCCCAACAGTTTCGCCTTATTTTGGGGAGCCAATTTCTTCTGCACCATTTCAGCCATGTGTAGTCACCACGTTTTACTTCTCATAAGCAACATTCCGTTGTGCGCGAAAAGGGTGGGAACAAATTGTTTTTTAAAAATGTGTTAATGTTAAGTATGAGGAGAGCATCCCTGTTGGTGCAACATTTCTCTCTAACAGGGACACAAAGTGTGTATCACAAAGTTGTTCACTCCATTTTGCAGCTCCATACTACATAGGGCGAATAACAAAAAAAGGGAAGAAAAAAAAAAAAAAAAAAAAATCATCTGTTTAACTTTGGCCCCTCGCCCTTCTGGCAGAATAACGCAGAGTAGTTAGCACCACAGATTAGGAGTGAAGATGGACGCCAGTTTAAAGAAACCCCCGTCAGGGGAGAATAAAGCAAAAAAAGAACAACAAAAAAAGGAACAAGCGGAAAGGGTGGACATTCTGAAGCACTGCTACAACGAGTTCAAAATGGACATTTCTTTTTTCACAAAATTGTATGAACAGAAAATGGAAATTTACAAGCATCGATGTGAATACATCAATCTGCTTTCAACTAGCAACGTGCATAGAATGAAGGTGACAATGAATCACCCCGTCCCGCCATATTCTTCAGAGCCGGTGGTGTTTGAGCATCCCTATGTGAATTGCAGCGTGGTGGAAATTTGTAAGAATTCTTTTCCGCATATCGAGGGGCAAATCGGGCAAACTGCAACAGAGAATATGACCCATAAAAAAATGGCAGAAAAGGGAAACGTTATTCCAAGGAACACTCTTCCGCATGGTGTAAGTGATGAAGAAGAGGAGTTTTTATGCGCCATGTACACAGGTAGGAGCGAAGATGTGAAAAGAACACAGGGGAAGGATACTACAGAAATGAAAAGGAACACATGTTCAAAGAAATATCGGGGCATTTTACTAAATTTTAATACTCTGGAGGAATTTCTAACCACGAAGAAATGCACACACATTAATTATACCATGAGCAATTTGAGGAGGTACTTGAAAAAAGCTAGCCATGTGGACAATGGCCCCGGTGATGAAACAAAGGAGGAGAGCATCTATGAAGATTCCTTCTGGACATATAAACCAAATGAGCTAAATTATTTTGAAAAAATAAACACATATTTAATTTTGTCTTTTTTCGATCTACAACATTTTCTGTGTTATTATAGCTTGGCGAATCCGGTGGTGAATCCGCCTGTCCATTTTAAGATGGTAGAACCCAGTGAGCGATTGTATTTTTTTATCGACCCTGAGGTGATGTATCTGGATTCAAGAAAGGACCACATCAACGTGGGAGATGTGCTGTACTTGTCTCACAAAATTGAAACGTGCTTTAAGGGGAATAAATTGTTTGTAGAATCTGGGGCCTTTCTTTTATTAAAATTTGATACAGAGGAGTTGTCTTTACAAAATTCTCACCTGTATATGAAAATGTACCAGAGTAGTCTGCATCGTTTAGGACTCAGCAATGCACTAGGAGAGAGTGAGGAAGACATAACTTTTGCTTCTTTAAATTCCTTCAAGGGGGTGTGTGATTATCTGTCCGGCATTCGCGAGAAACACCATCAAGGGAGTAATATTTGCATGTGTTCTTGTGCAGGTGATGCAGAGAAGCAGGTAGCAAAGTGCTGCTCATTTGACTGTAAATGGCACTTGGGTGATCCAAATAGGAAATGCGACAAGGACCCCCATCACGTGCTGCGCAATTCTGCTGGGCTGACCGTTCTACCCTTAAGCTGCTTAGGAGAACTGAAAGAACACCTACAAAATATGAAGGAGAAAAAACTAAAATATGTTATGGAAAAATTTTTCCACCTGTACATTTGCCTCGTGGATCCAAATTGCGTCTTCACTTCTCTCGCATGGGATTTTCGAAATCTTTTATATTGTCTCTGTTTGAAATATGAGTTATATGATTTTGAGATTGAGTTGCTTGTGTTTAGAGATTTCTCCTTACTCTCTGAGGAACTCGTGTGCAAAGCATTCCCTACCCATTTGTTATGGAAATTCCCCTACTTCAGCTATCCTACGCATATAATGCGTGGCATGTGTAATGCCCATATGCTCTCCCCTGTGAAGAATTCTCAGTGCACTAGGGTTGAAAAAATGGTCACTCGAGATTATGGTGCGATAAAGGTAGGGAGAGAACATGAGTGGATTGGAAAAAGGGAAGAATCTTACATGGGGGAACCTAACACTGGGAAGACACAATTTTCCTCGAGGAAGAACCTACTGGTCAAGTACCTGCTAAATTCTTCAGTTTTTAAAATAAAGGTGCCAGGTAGAGGGGAACTTGGGGAAGCTTCCACAGGGGAAGAGGCCAATGATGTAGGGGCCGCTCCCATCCGATGTGCGCCCGGGTGGAAGAGGCGCGCAGCGGTAAACGGCGACAGCACCATCCATAAGGTTAACCTGCGTAACTTTGTGAACCGAGACGTGGTGCAAAGAATAGCCCTCGAACAGCATGTAAAGTTAATCAAGTGGACTCTCCTCAAAAATTTGAAGGAGGAAAAAATAACCACGCTCAAGGTGTTAATCCTAGGCATGGGAACAGTAGGGTGTAATATCGCCAGGACGTGTGTAACCTGGGGTATAAAACACTTAACCTTGGTTGACAACTCTGTGGTAAAACATTCGAACGTAGGTAGGCAGTCGCTGTACACCACAGATGACATAGAAGATGAAAATAAAGTACCCACGCACAAAGTAGTAGCTGCGAAAAAGCGCTTATTAAAAATTGCCCCAGATTTGAACATCCAGGCTAGGCTGTTTGACATTCCCATGCCTGGTCATTCGATTTACGTCTCCAACGAGCGTATTCGGAAGACGAAGGAGGCCATCACAGATTTAAATAATTTAATATCAAATCATGATGTGGTTTTTTTGGCGACGGACTCGAAGGAGTCCAGGTACTTCCCCAGTTTGTTAATTGCGGAGAAGCAATATAGCTGTATGAGGGAGTTGCACAGTGGGCAGAACTGTGATGAGCAGCAGAGGGCCACGACCCTGCCCACGGTGCGGGGTACCAACCCGGTGCAGTGCACTAATCCGGTGCAGCAGTGTGATTACGGTAGCGATATGTACATGTACTTGTCCCAGGAGGACAGCCTCACCGACGAAGCCATTCGTGAAAGGCAAACTTTTTACAATAACATCCTCACAAATGTAAAGCAGCTAGCCAAAATGCCCCCCTTGGGAATTACAGTAGCGTTAGGGTTCGATTCGCTACACATAATTAGACACCCCTACTTATATTTTAGGGGTGGCTGTTTTTACTGTAACGATTTACACTCACCCCAAAACTCATCATTTGGCCAACCCTTGGACGAGAAATGCACTGTGACCAGAGCAGGTTTAAGTAGCATCAGTGGTGGGCTCTCTGTTGAGCTGTTAATAACCCTAACACAACACCCACTACATTTTTTTGCACCTCATACAAATAAAGATCAGTATGTGTACAACAGCCATGTGCATGTGAGTGGAAGGGATCCTCCCAAGGAGGAGACAGGAATGGTGAAGAACAGAGCTGCTTCAAATTCTCTCGTTTCTTGCTTGGGAGCCACACCTCACATTGTGTCCCTCAATTTGGCTGAATTCTCCATGAGGAAAATGTATTGCAGTGCTTTCGACCGATGCATGTGCTGCTCGGAGAAGGTCATTTTGCGTTACCAGGCGTGCCCGGAGGCCTTCGTCGAAAATGTAGGGCGCGGAGCGGCGTTGTGTTGGCCCATTTAGCGGCCCATGTTGCTGGCCCATTTTGCGGCCCATTTAGCGACCCATTTAGCCACCCATTTTGTTACCTCCCCTACACACGCAGGTCATCCGCGACAGCAGCGTCCTCGAGAGGATCACGGGCATTGAAGAACTCAGGGAAAAGGAAAGCGACGTGATCATGTTGGACTGAACTTGAGGTCAGCGTGCGTTTGGAGAATTCATAAGCACGCTCTTCAATTCCATTTTTCGAATGTTTTTTTTTTTTTAATTTTTCTGCACAGCACATTTGTTTGCTCACCACTCTGTGTGGTATGTTAGGGCTTCTTTGATTTGTCTCATTTTTGTGATTTGCGTCCGAGCGGGCAGTGATGTAAAGCATCGCCGTTGTGTATTTTTTATTATTTTTTTTTTTTTTTGCAGGGCGTTATCTCCCCTGTTCATATTTGTCCTTTACCTGTGTGCGTGTTTGCTTTTTTTTTTTTTTTTTTTTTCCCATTTCGCTGCACAGGGGGAGGTGTGTCACCCCCATCCCTGGCTGGCCTCCAGCCAAGTACGCAACAACATAGAGCAGTTTCCCGAAAGGTGTAAAATTATTCTTCCCCTTAAGCGACTACACAGAGGGACATGCTTGTTTCCACCAGGTTCCTTTGTGTAGTCGCTGCGGGAGGAAGTATGTCCTTTTTTAGTACCCATTTGTGAAGAAAGTGTAAAGTAGCATTGCGTATTGCTCCGGCTCCGCGCGATGCGTCCAGTGAAGGGGCTATGAGATGGAATAAATTGGGTTATGAGTGGATCACTTAATAAAAGCGCCCCTTCCCCATTTTTGCCTTAGCACACGGGCACCTCAACCCTCTGCTACGTACCCTTGCGCCAGCGACAAGGGCTTAGCAGCACTTCTAATGGAACAACAGTAATTTTACAACATGGTCCAACTGTTTAAATTGCGAAGGAAATTTATCTCCTTTTTTGTTGACCTAATAAAGCCACGCGGGCCACGCATGCGAAGGGGTGCAAAATGGGATTGAATGCGCCGTATGCCTGAAGCTATACCGGCAGGGGTAATTTCATCACTGTGCCGCGCAAACGGATTTGAGAACCCACTGTGCCTGTGCCCGCGCAAATCGAAGAAAAAAAAATAAATAACTAAATAAATAAAAATAAAAAATAATAAGTAGGGATAAATATGAAAATAGCATAACTGGTAGGAAACTACAAAGCAACAGATGCTTTTACGAAGCGAAATGGCCCTACTTGAAATCCACCGCTGCCGTGTGACCCATGTAAAAAAAAAAAAATATAAAAATGCGCACGGCTCATGCTTTTTTTTTTTGAATACGTTCGTGTCCTTTTGTGTACAATTCGACCCCCAAACCCGAAGGCGTGAATGCGAAGGACGGTTATGAGCCTTTGCGTTCTTCTCACGAACACGTGCAACAACCTTAATGCCACCCTCTTGTATAAGCCAGCTGCAACAAGGAGCATCAGCAACGTTGCTCACTGGAATGAGGCGCAAAGGAGGCGGAACAACAGTTGTAACGCTCTTTTGGTAAGGACAAAAAACGCCCTATACGTTAACCAACTCTGGAGCAACAGTATATGCATCTCGAAGAAGAAGAAGAGCATTTTAAAAGTGAACAAACTGGCTTTTACAAAAATGGCATCCTCCACCGGCGCTGACAAATCCCAGGGAGACCTGTTGGAAAAATTAAAACAGAATCAGGTCGTAGGGGAAAACCCAGCCTTTATCCAGGAGAGGCTAGCTAAGTACAACGAGTTGAAGGAGAAGAAGCGAATTGAAAGGGAGGAGTTACTCAAGAGTGACCCCAAATTTACTCGAAGCATAAATGTACAGTTGCTCGATGGGTCTGTGAAAGTGGCACAGTGTAATGTGACTACCCCTTTTCACATTGCAAGCGCCATTTCGAAGAGGCTGGCGGAGGACTCCATCGTCGCGCGCGTGACGTATGTAGAGAAGGTGAACCTGGATCTCTGCGACATAGAGGAGGAGGAGCAACAGGAGGAAGAAGCGAAGGGGGAAGCGGCGGGAGGCACCGCTCCATTAGGAGGAGAAACGCCCCTGCTCTGGGACATGAACGTGCCACTTATAGGAAGCTGCAAAATTGAGTTCCTGAACTTGGAGCACGAGGAAGCGAAGAAGACTTTCTGGCACTCCTCCGCGCACATTTTAGGTAGCAGCTTGGAGAAGCTCTTTGGAGGCTACCTCACCATCGGACCCCCCTTAAAGGAAGGCTTCTACTACGACATTTATTTACGCGATTTTTCCATAACCAATGAACACTACAAAAAAATAGAAGAGGAATTTAACAAACTCATAAAAGAAAATGCAGAATTTGAAAAACTTATTTGTACGAAAGATGAAGTGATGGATCTGTTCAAATATAATCCCTTTAAGTTAGAATTGATCAGATCAAAAATCCCTGAACATAAAAAAACTTCAGTGTATAAGTGTGGAAATTTTATCGACCTGTGTTTAGGGCCACACATAAAAAGTACAGGCAAGGCAAAAGCATTCAAGGTGTTAAAAAATTCAGCTGCCTACTGGTTAGGAAATAAAAACAATGAAAGTCTGCAGAGAATATATGGAATCACATTTCAAAAAAAAACTGAACTAAATGATTATTTAAATTTTTTAGAAGAAGCAAAAAAAAGAGATCATCGTAATGTAGGGAAGAAATTACATTTCTTTTTTTTTGAAAAGGACACATCGCCAGGGTCATGTTTTTGGCTACCTCATGGAGCTAAGATATACAATAAATTAATTGACTTTGTTAGAAGAGAATATAGAATAAGGTTATATGATGAAGTGATTACTCCAAATGTTTTTAGTTGTGACTTGTGGAAAACCTCTGGCCATTACCAAAATTATAAAGATTGTATGTTTATTTTTAATGTGGAACAGAAGGAATGGGGAATGAAACCCATGAACTGTCCTGGACATTGTATTATGTTTAAACAGTTAAATGCTTCATACAGGTCACTACCCATAAGATTAGCTGACTTTGGGGTTTTGCATAGGAATGAAATTTCTGGTAGTTTGAGTGGACTTACAAGAGTACGTAGATTTCAACAAGATGACTCACACATTTTTTGTACCTTTGACCAAATAAAGGAGGAAGTATTAAACACTCTTCATTTTATATTCTTCATTTATGACCTGTTTGGGTTTAAATATGAATTATTTTTATCCACAAGGCCGAAGAAGTTTATTGGAAGTATATCCACATGGGATTTTGCAGAGCAATCTTTGAAGGACGCTCTGAATTCAGCAAATATACCGTGGAAATTGAATGAAGGAGATGGAGCTTTTTATGGCCCTAAAATTGATATACTCCTCAAGGACAGTATAAACCGTACCCATCAGTGTGGCACCATTCAGCTGGACTTCCAACTCCCTTGTAGATTCAACTTGCAGTACAAGAACAAGGAGTTTGGGGTACTAAACGAAGGAGATAATAAGGGGGAAGGTGCCATGTGCAAACGGGAGGAAGTGATGGAGAATCACGGTGCAGATACTGACCTCTCCGCGGATAATGCAGAGCAACTGAAAAAGGGTTTCGATCGACCAGTTATTATACACAGAGCTATCCTCGGTTCCGTGGAAAGGTTCGTTGCCATTTTGATTGAACACACAGCTGGTAAGCTGCCCTTTTGGATCTCGCCAAGGCAAGCCATTGTCCTCCCCGTAAGTGACAAATTTAATGACTACGCAAATTATGTGTATCAGACGCTCAACAATCACTTTTTCGATGTAGAGGTTGACACCTCGCTCAACACACTCAATAAGAAAATACGAGAAGCGCAGCTGAACCAATTCAACTTCATTTTAGTCGTGGGGGAGAAGGAGCTAACGACCAACACGGTCACTGTGCGCAACAGGGATGACCAGAACAACCACGAGGTGTGCTCGTTGGAGGAACTCATCGCTCGATTCAAGAAGCTGCTCGAGGTCAACTCGATGCCCTTCAACCAGGTCAAGCCCTTCAACCAGGCAAAGCCCCCCCAGTGAAGCGCCGTTAAACGAAGTTAAGCGGTTACTCCGTTAAGCCCCCCCCCCCTATTAGCGGGACTATTTAATTCGCCCCAATATTGTGTACATTTTTAACATGTCTGTGTATTTTTTCTCTCCACCTCGTCCATTTTTGCATTTTACGAGCGACCGACCATTCTCCTCATTTCATTTGTTACACCCCCCTCACACACACTCTTTTTGTACACCATGCTTATGTGAACCCTGACATGAACGAATTTATTTTTAGAAAAACAAAAAAAGTTAAAAATGTTTTTAAACTTATATATCGTGACAAATGTGAAAGTGAGACAAATACGGACCGGTGCGTGCACGTTGTTGCCGACTGCCCGCGCCTTGCCAAATAAAACCGTGGAAAAAAAAAAAAAAAAAAAAAAAGAGAGCTTCCCCTCGGGGGGTAAAAAAAAAGGGGGAGAGTTTCTATGGCCTCCTTTTCTCCCAGTTCCCTTCCACGTCCACCGCCCCTGTGGACACTTACTGTTACGGTTGTTATTTTCCGTACAGTTGCTTCTCCTTTGGGGGCGTGCACACAAACGTGTCAACCCTGCTCGTACATGCGCATCTCCTCCATCACCGCCTCGCTGTACGTGCAGCTCAGGTACTTCATGTTGTAATACATATGGCCCATCCTTGCAAACTTGTCAACATCGATTTTTATATTATTCTGTTTGTGATAACTCAGCATTTTCAGGAGGAATTCCTTCCGCTTCATCCACTGCCCCGTGGACTCCCATTCCTTTCTCGTGTTTGCGTCTACGAGCACTTTTTTTTCCTCTTCGGGCATATTCGGGTCGTTTAAAAATGGCTCCGTCGGCTGATCCATGGGGCTGCCTTTTGGAAGGGAGCAAGTCTGACACGGTTGGTCGCTAAACTGGGTGACGCGGTAACTATATTTACACTGGGTACCTTTTGAAGGTGCTGTTGCCGATGCGAGGATGTGGATGCCTCTTCACAAGTAATCCTTAGTCGACGAGTATCACACCAATATGAAGTTGAGAAGGGCAACAAAGGCTATCCTCTCTTCCGTTACAATAACCCCTTTTTTTTTTTTTTTTATATATCCCGTTTTTCTTTATTTCGCAAATCCGTTAATTGTGCCTGGAAAGGTCAACAATTCTTCTTTAACTGTGTTTTGTATCACCATGGATGTTTTGGCAACTCATTAAGATTGCTGCTCAGTTGATAGAAGTTTTCTTTTTTTTTTTTTTTAAACAATGGTGGCCAAGTGGAAATATGACTTTTTGGCTAGCTATTTTTCCAGCTGACTTTTTTTTTTTTTTTTTTTTTTTTTCAAAATTGTTGCCAAACAGGGCGAAACGAAATATGGACGTGGGTTTTTTGGAACAGATAATTTTACGCACGCTGATAAAACGAAGCTGTAACCCTCTGTTTCTTTTTTTTTACTTTCTAAATGGGAAAAAATACCAAAATGGAGAACATGTCACTTTTGTGACCTCTAAACAGGAGGAGGAGTTTTCCATCCTTTAAGAAGAGCTTCAAAGAAGGGTGCACATAATGGTTATAAAATAACCCCTACGAATTTTCCACCTTTTTTTTTAAACATGCCTCCGCTGCGTGCGCGACATATATGCAGAGTTTACCAAATGGACTACCATTTTGCGCATCCGTACGAACCACACTGATGGAGGAAAAAGTGCGGCGATGTATAGTTGTAGATCGCTAAGAGGGGCAGAGCGCGAACATGTCGCTGGAAATGTTTTAAGGGAGCCTCTTATCTGTTCATTTAACTTTCTATCAGGGGAGCACAAGTTAAGCGAACTTAGCTTTCTTGCGCGCAAGTAAGGTATACATGCGCATGTACATATGTGTACGTATCCTTTCATATGCACTTTTATCTGCTGGCCGACCCAGCGCAGAATAGAGCTTCCCTTTTCCCCGCGAATAGTTTACCCAGTTGACCATTTTGAAAAATTCCGCCCCCCCTACAATGGTTTTTCATCCCCCCCCCAAATTTTAAAAGGCTCATGGCTGCTTTTTAGAACTGGAGACGATCATAATGTGTGTGGAGGAAAATTTGCACAAATGCATGCCAAATTAAAAAGCATTTCCAAACGTTCGGCCCGCGTGTGTACAAGTTTTGCTTCACGTGTATAAGGCACAAACGAAGGGGGGGAGGCAGTCGGGACGACAGAAATTTTTCGCATTTTAAAGGAGTATATTTTGGAGGCAGGAAAAAAAGGGGCGAAAATATGCAACTAAATGGCTGTACAACAACGTCGCAGGGTTGGCGCGAAAAGGAGAGAGACTGTTTTTTTGGCTTCTTCCCTTTGCGGGGTACTATCAGCCTGACCGCAACTCGCTTTCCAATGAATTGAAGCTTTTTTATGCACTAAGGGGAGAAATCGAATTAATAAAAAAAAATCAACACAAATTATCAGCAATGGTAAAAAAAAAAAAAAAAAAAAAAAAAAAAGCGGCAAAATGGCTAGCTGCGGCAACAAATCGCCTGAACGGGTCATAAAAAAGTGGGATACCACAT